TTACCGATAAGGCTTGCACCCTGTCACCCTGTGGAGTAGACATGCATCTGTGACTACCCTAAACAACACGGGTGCATTCTTTTCCAGGTGCGCACCTCTTCAAGTCTTGCTGGTGAGTCGACTGGGGAGATACTTTTTATGTTTAGGCCATGTTGTGGCTGCTCTTGCACTTGCAGGGAAGGGTGAATTAGTATGTGTTTATCTTTTAACTTTCTCTTTTTTCATTTTTTCCACCAGGTGTGGACACATAAACATGTTGCTGGGTCTCAAGCCTTGTGAAATCAACAACCCACGAAACGGACTGTTGCTCTTCAAGCCTCTTTGAGTATGCGTTTGATGATTCACGAATTTCTATCAGCTGCAAAGATGGTGATGATGGGCCCCTGTTTTTTATGGTGCTGCTCGCCATGGGGCTTAAACACGTCAAGGTCTGAATTTAGTGTACTAAAAGATTACTTGTTGGAAATAGCTTACTCTCGGTTTTGAGGCAGGGGAGATGATTCAAACTTACCATGCAAGCTGCTCCTTTGTACAATAACCATTTTAATCCAAGTGGAAGCACCCCCTTAGTTGCTTGTAACAGGAACTGCAGACCATAGCGTGGTCTTAACGCGTTAAGCTGCTGGAGATGAAGGTGCGCTCACAGGTCATTCACGTTGAGACAAAACACCCATGCTAGCTTCATACAATAAATGCACCGTTCCAAAGGGGAGCGGCTGTGACTTTACATATCTTCACCATTGAAGCAGATCATACGTCACGGCAAGACCTCGGTATGCGTATCTTGCTTACGATACCAGGTATAGGACAGAAGCCATCCCTTATGCAAAAAACTTCTCCGACACGCTATTTGACAGGTTGCTTAAGTTGGTTTTGTCTTCAACTTGAGAGCGACCAACCAATAGTAGCCGGAGTACACGCAACGCGGACTCTTCGGCAAAGTATGAATTGCGGAGAAATCGCGCTTAGGATTTACCTATGATAGCATCCACCACGCCAGGCGAAAGACGCGCGTCGACGAGGCCTTCCCGTCCTTTCAGTCTGCAAACGCTCAGCGGTGTTGTACTTCGCTGCCCAGAGCTTATCCAAGTCATCTTCGTCTAGTCCAACAGAAACTAGGCAGCGTCTGCAACAGCAGCACGCATTAGCTGCCACGGATCTGGCGTCATAGCGTCTCGCAGGTTCTGCTTTATCTGCGTCGAGCCCCAGTACAAGGTGAACGCGAAATAGCACAGCTACAGGTCGACGTCCGTGTTTTGCTCGTTGCAATTCACAGCTCTGATCAGTAAGAGATTTCGGGGGTCAAGCCGGAAATTTTTTCTGACCCTGGAGCTGACCGTTAGTACCGCCTTCCATTTGACAGCACAAAACAGCTTTTCCTTTGGACTTTCAAACATATCGGACAATGACAGTGAATTTCTTCGTTCTATTGACACCGACGACTTCTTGAATTTAATTGAATTCTTACAGAGTGGGGGGCTTCTGGGCCACTTGGACACATTGTCAATTCTACGATTTATCACACCATACAGCACCATCCACCATTACCACACTGTACTACGCCATACGGACTGGAAGGATCCCTCCTCATCCGTTCACCCGAACATCCGTAGAGACAGAGGGTGCAGCAATCGCCACCTATCCAGCGTGCGAATCTCGATCCATCAACTGTGACCTCAACTCCACATCTCAGCGGCTAGCCATAATTTCACGTTCACGGCAATGTCGGGAGTCTCCCCAGGAATCGAACTTAGGAATTTAAACTGTATAAGACAGTAGTGTCAACCAGGCCTGACGACTTCTCGCTTGGCGAAATGTTTGGCGCCAACAAAACAGACCAGTGTCAGCGACGTGACAGCGATGCCGAAGCGGTTCATCTGATGCGGAACCATCGGCACTCTGGAGCCCTACAGAGATTACTTAGGGTTTTAGGGTTTGACTCCCTGGACCGTATCCTGGAGCACATCAAGGGCCGACCCGCGGGTCAGTGGTCCATGGGCTCGCGGTTGTAGGGTTTTAGCTACATGGGTTGCGGTTTTAGGGTTTGCGGGAGCCCCACTGCTTGTTGGCAATGGCCTTATTGGGCGAGGGGCGGTTCCGGGAGGGCCAGGCGGGCTAGTATGACGTGGCCCGCTCTGGAACCCCCTCCTGCCCGTCAGGACTGACCGGCGTCTGACATTAAAATGCCTTGAAATAGGAGACTATACATAATTTACATGAAGACGCTCAAGATACAAAGAAACACAGTCGGCATATGTAAGTCGGCATGTGGCCCGGTGAGCCAAGGGCTGCCTTAGCGGCGTTACAGCATGGCCAAGACGCCAATGCGCGTCTTGGCTGAGGCTGCAGCGCGCAAGTGGAGACTGTGTTGCTAGACTAATTTGCTGGCGTCAAGTACGTCCAAAATGGTACTGGAAGTCAATGTAGGATATCGAATACAGCGAGAAATATAATATATGCGTATGGAAAGGAAGGATACTTTCTTCTGCTTATTCGTCCCTTTCCAATCACAATATATCAACGCGCGCGTTGCGGCGAAATACAGACGACAGAAGTCCAGCGTGGATGTTGCTTCTACCTACTTAAGCTTGCTTTTTCCATAATTAGAGCTCAAAAACCTTTACAAAAACTGCAACCCAAAATCCGGACAAGCCAGCTTACCTATAACCAACTTTCAGTGTTGCATAACTACAATTTATACATCTTACATTATACTGGACCTCTCGATTAACTGCGGCGGGCTTCCATGCCCTAGCCGTACCGGGAAGCGAAAGCTGCATTGACTTGTTACCAGGAAGAGCATCAAGTAAACAGGCACAAGTGGATAATGTTTATGATAAGGTTTAGACTAACATTCTATTATCACCTGCTACGGCTCTCCAGTTGGGTCCAGTAGCCATACGGAACAGTTTGCGATACGGCCATTGCGACAACTATTTCTTAGAATTGGCGTACATCCCTTGGTTCATAAGTCGCGAACTTTGATTGAGAGCGTACATAATAGTTTACCGTCACTACCTTTATAGTATTTCAGCGTCCCTATCCTTAAGCTAACAAAGATGGCGTACGCCGATAGTGGTGATGGCTGCATTGACTTCATGATCCCCAAGGACGCCCAGCAGGCGGTCAAGGACTCCTTTGAGTTTTGCAAGACTAACCTGTTTAACAACACAGAGGACGGCAGCAAGGACTGGGACTACGGTAAGGCGGCTCACTGCCTGTGTTAGAAACTCACAATCAACAGAATGGCTGTGCGCTGCCAAAAAAGTGTTATTGTTTCTCTGTGTGGCTTGCGTCAGCTAGTTGCTCCGGCCTATCCATCGAGGTGGCCGCTGTTGCCGTTGCCAGCTGGACATTCACACGGCAAAACTTAAAAGCTTTTACAGCGCGCACTATCTATCGCCGAGGTCACACACTTGCTATGGCTTCTCAACTATGCAGGCACCTTTTCATGCCTCGGCAACGTCCCATTGACCCTGGCGGTTATCTGCTGCCCTTGCTGGGGCAGCTGCATCCGCTACCGCAACATGGAGTACATGAGCGGTAAGCACTTGTTAACGTTTGGTGGTCGAACCCACCACACTGAACAAAGCAACTGCCTGCGGCCGCTGCACCTACACCTTTGGTACTCCCCTTTGCCCCAATTTAAGGCTTTGCTGGGTTGGAGAATGTTGTGACTACCCTACTTCATTAGGGCCCAAAATAGCAAACTCAATCCATCTGACCGGGTCGGTCATTTCCTTTCTCCTTTTGCGGCTAACCGCAAATCACTCCCCATACCTGATACATGCTATTCTCAGAGCAATCATTTTATCTTGCGTGTCAATTCGATTGCTTCAATCCTCCTTTTCGCGGATTTGACCAAGTCCATCCGCCGACTTGACCAAAAGTACACTTTTACTTTCTGGTTAATTCGCGCCTTGTTGTAGCCATCCACGAGGTAAACCAGGAACGCGTTATGCCACCCACACACAGGCAAATCTTGTGAGACGGCCTTTGTCAACGGGATGGTGACGGGGGCGGTCTGCCTTGGACCATGCTATTACGCCGTAGTGCGCGGTGAGTACGCATGTATCACTCCTTGCGCATCACTATCACTATCGCTCCTTGCGCATATGCATAACTTACCCGCTGCACACACCTTTCTTACCTTAATCGTGCGCTATTGTACGTGCAGGCCAGTTCCGTAAGAAGTACGGTCTCAAGGGCTCCCCGTGCCAAGATTGGCTGTGCGGCTGCTGCCTGGGCCCATGTGTGTTGTGCTCCGAAACGAACCAGCTTATGGTCAGCCAGGGCATTAAGGTGAGAAAAAGTGGCAGTTAGCAATTATGCTTAGGTGAATAGATTGGTAGACGCACAGATATTTTGCTTCCATGATAGGTACGGGCCATAGGCTGCATCCATGTGACTGACTCGGCCATGCGGTCGAGCCTTAGCTGTTTGGGCGAAGAGCTGGATTTCGCGTTTCTTCTTCTTCTTGGGCTTATTATTGGGCTTATTATTGGGCTAGCTTGGAACACATGACTGTTCAGCCATCCCCGTCTGGCGAGATTGTATAAGGATGATTCTGTTCCATGAGTAGCATACGCAGATCAGGATGTGATGTTTATTCGTTAGCAGTCGCAATAGCCATTAAAAATTCTTCGATTAGCAACCTTCTTCGTCTCTACTTCAGTTCCTCCTTCCCCTCTATTTTAATATTTTGATATTCCGCTACTTTATATATCCGTGTACTCCTACGAATCCGGCGCGCACAGGTTCCCTACCTCAACCTCAAGGGCGGCGCAAACGCAAGCTAACGTCTTCTGCCTGCTGTCGTCATGTCGTATGTGTCGTACTGCTTGGCCGGACGCAGGTCCCATACCTCAACCTGAACAGCGGTTCCTCTGGCAAGGTCACGCCCGCATAAGTAACGAAAAAATGTTTAAAATGTCATAAGGTCATTACTTTATTAGCCACAACTGTGCATGTTTTTGAACACGTAGTATGTGATGTGATCGGCGGTATGTTCGTGTGTCGAGTGTCCTCTCTGAAACCGCCATTCAGCGTTCATGCACACCGGTGCGCGAGAGCGGCGGGCTATGCTTCATTTCCATTGTCACACGGCTACACCACCTTGGCCCGAGTGCCCGTGCCGCATCGCATCAGTCTTGGGAGCGCAGGAGGGACTGAGAGTGCGGAGTGCGGTTCAGTGCCTCTTGCACTCCCGGCCGCCCGGCGGCCCCCGCTGGCTGGCTGGTCCCTGCGGTCACCTTCACCACGCATCCGTGTGCGCGTGTTACTCATCGATTTGCCCCCGAGCTTGCGCCTCGCTCCGCATCCCCCTTGAAATGGAGCGATGCTCTGTCCGCGAGGCAGCATTCGGTAACTGTGCGTGTTTTTGTTTACGATGCTACGACAAGGAATCCACACTTGACGCTTGACGTGGTTGCATTCTAAGAGCGCGCGTGTAAGAACTTGTGTTGTGTATGTGTTTATAGCTCCTGCAAGCACCGTATCTGACCGCATGTCTCGACGCCTGTACGGGTGGCACTTAACGATGTACTTGTCGTTCACATGCAGCACGCGGTGATTGTTAATGTTGGGGTTAAGCTTCCGTAGGTGCGTCTAGAATATCACTTGCCTGGGGGAAAGCGGCTCCATGGTCTTGGGTATTTTTGCGCTGCTCCGTACACTTTCATGTTCCAAGTATATTGCATGCACATAAGTACGCGTGGCTGGATTTATCGTCAGAATCATTGAGTTCACGGGTACACTGTGTGTGCTTTTGCCGTATATGCTCTTGCTCTTGTCGCGGCGACGCATGATGTCGCTTGAGACGGGGCGTGGGCCGTGGCTTGGTGGTCACGTGAAGAGGGGGGCATCTTTGAAAGTGTAGGAGTGGCGCCCAGGAAAAAGGAAGAGCATATTGACGCCGGAAACGGATTCATTCATGGCCTTGTTTCAATCGATTCATGCGCCTGAGAACAAGGCCGCTTTGCTGTCGAAGCCTAGCAATGAAAAGCGGCCTCTTTTCCCCCCTCCCCAAACCATTGCTGCCTGAGGCAGATCGCGTTTCTTCACCATCCAACTTGTGAAGCATTTGAAATGTCCCAGACACCGTTGCCAGTCAGTTGGTCAACGTGTACGTGTGTGTATGTTTGTGTGCTTTAAGTTAATTTAGTTACAGCCGTTGCAGGCAAGGACTGCAAAGGGGGCGGTGGTAGGAAGGGTGAAGTGCAAGAAACGCGTAAGTATGACACTGCGGGCCACCGGCCGCGGATCTTTGCTTGTGCTACTGACCTAATGCATTTCCATTGGAGACGCGGCGAGCTCGGTTACGGCGTGTGATCTTTTCGGCCTGCATGCAAAACACGTGCTTCTGAAACACACATCACCGTTCTTGTGCAGCGTCTTGAAGGTCTGTGTTTCAAGCAAACGCTTGCTCCCCTGGTTACCTGACCAGCGTATTGCTCTATTTATGTGTTGCTGCTGTGCAACGCGTTTATGCCGGCGGAATAGCAGGGAGCTGTTGTTGGTTATTGGTAATGTTGGCGGTCGGCGGGCAGGGATGTGGGCGTACCGGCGGGCTGTGTAGCATGTGCGTGCGCGCGTGCTGGCTGCGGCTGCTGCTGTGTGGAAAAGCTCGGGGGGGTGAATAAGTCCTACCGTGGGGGCGAGGCTTTGGTTCCGCGCAATCCCGACCTCGTTTGCGACCCATTGCGATCCATCACCAGGAGTATTATTAAGATGATGATGGGTGATGCGTGGACTGTCGGTAACCAGAGTTTTTGGCTTGCTCCACATTGAGGAGGTTTACGCAATAAATCTGCTCGTGCGGGTCCAAATGCTGGGGGAGGGGTGTTTCATGGCCAGTCATGCCCCGTAAGCTCTTGACTTTCCTAGTACTTGTTTTTTAAGTATTGGCAAGCGTGAAGGAAGGATTTTGCAGGGGGAACTGTTTTGCGTGGGTTGTGTGATGTGACTTGGGCGTGACGACATCCAGTACGACAATACTGTAACTTGGCAGAATACTTTTTAAGATGCAGTAAAAAAATGGTTGACATGGCAAAATCGACACACACACACACACACACACACGCAAAATCGAGACACACACACACACACGGCACATGATGGCGCAACAGAAAAGGGTATTTGTATAATTAAAATCACTTGCAACGACAGGAGCACAAAGTTGTAGGCTGGAAGGAAAGGCGCATCAAATGAAAACAGCAGAAGGCAAGGTCATACAGTTGTAACAGTTTAAGAAGCAGTCGAAAGAGAATGCTGGGCCTTTCATTTCCCGCGTTTACCTGCGGAGCAACCATCAACCGCCATGAAAATATGTTTCGAAAACGACCTCAATGCTTTCTCTATGTTCTCTATTTTTTCGTTTCATGTTGCCAGCGTATGTGTGGCTTGCTGCCGCCCATTGACTCAACGAGCTGAAACATGGCATCGTCGGCGAAAACGCTTTCCGGTACCGCGATCAAACGAGTCCACGGGGCTCTGCAAATGTTTCCATATACCTCTTGCTACTGCGAAGAAAACGTTTATCTATTGGTTTCTGAGCTCGTTCGGCTCGGCTATGCGTCTTCCTTGGACGAGCTTTTTGTGGTGTTTATTAGCAATCCAGCCAAACAGGTTAGTGGGAAAACAGCACCATTTTGGAGAGCCTGTTATGATTGCCACTGGATTATGGCAACTGTTCTCAACGTGCCTTCGACTTTATTATCGCCGCTAACTTCCGTGCAAGTCACTAACTGCGCATGTTCCTCCCACCTCCTGGGGGCCTATGTCACCCCTCGCGTCGGAGAAACGCCATTTCCCTCAAAAGTTACAATATACGGCCTCTCAAGCACTTTAACCTATGCGTGTGCTCGCGACCTCCCAAGGGTGCTGCGATCTGCCCTGTTTCTCACCTGCCGTCCTTGTCATCCATTTCAGGAGCCCTTAACTTCCATCGCTCCAGCTCCCGCCGTGCATACATGTTTCTCTAACCCTGCCACGCACACACACACACACACACACACACACACACACCACCGCCACATACTCCAGGGATCCCCAATCCGTCTCCCCCGCCTCACCCCTCAGGTGCCCTTGTGGACACAACGGGCTGGTTTCGGAGCGAGTCACACTTCGGATGGCGATGGCAGGGGCGTCCATTGTGACGGCAGCGGCGGCGCCCATGACGATGACGGCGACGGTGGCAAAGTAGACAGTGACGGCCATGGAAGCAGGAAGGATGGCGTGAAGGAGGAAGAGGAGGAGGAAGAGGAGGAGGAAGAGGAGGAGGAAGAGGAGGAGGACGGGGAGGAGGACGGGGAGGAGGAAGGGGAGGGGGACGGGAGCGATGCGGACAGCCGCGGAGGAAGCGGTGAAGAAGGGCTGGTGGTGTGGGATTACCACGTCGTACTCCTACAGGCACTACCGCCATCCGGGCCACCGCGGCCGACAGCAGTAGCGGCAGTAGCAGCCCTGGCGGCGGGCTCCGAGGTCGCAGCAGCGGACCGCCCGCCTAGGGATGGCAAGGGTGGGCAAACCGTGCCGCTTCTATCCTGTCCGATGCCGCTGCCGCCACCGCTGCCGCCACCGCCGCCGCCGGCAGCGGCAGTGGTTCCATTTCGCGGCGGTGGTGAAGTTGGCAAAGATAGCGGCGTCAATGGACGCGATGGAAGCGGCGGTGGCAGTAGCGGGTTCACCGACATACATGTTGCCAGCGGAGGCGCCTTGGCCGCTGCTGCTGACACTACTGCTAGTGCAGCAGTAGCAGCAGCTGCTGCCGCTGCAGCCAAAGGGGCTTCGGGAAGCGCGACCCTTGTCTGGGACCTGGACTCGGTCCTGCCGTTCCCCTGCAGGTAGCTCCCCAGTCTGTCTATCAGTCTGTCTGTCTTCTGTCTGTCTGTCTGTCTTCTGTCTGTCTGTCTGTCTGTCTGTCTCACTGTCTGTCTGTCTGTCTGTCTCACTGTCTGTCTGTCTGTCTGTCTGTCTGTCTAACTGTCTGTCAGCCTGTCTGTGAAGACATTCAGTTTTTGCTGGTGTAGGGGTTGTGCTCCAACCCAGGAGTGAGTGAGTGAAGGAAGGAAGACCCTGACTCCCCCCTTACCGCCCGCCCGGTAGCCCCCTCCGGTAATTAGTCCCCTGTTGCCCGAACCGTTCTGGACACATACATGCATACAGACAGACAGACAGACAGACATATAGACATATAGACATACGGACATACATATCCCCGTGCCCTTCCCCTTTTGCCGTTCATGCAAATCTTAAACCGCACGCCGTACATCCTTCTACCCGTACATCTACAGTCTTGAGCTGTACGCGCGACGAGCGTTGAAGGTAGGTTCGCTGCATCGGAGTTGTTGTGTGTACGGCAGCAGGCAGAATGTGACAATAGCCATATAAGAGTTTTCTTGTGAAGACGGTTCCTGCGGCCACAGCAGGGGGACATCAGGGCTGGGGGGGGAGTGGGGTGGGGGGTGGGGGGGAGAAAGGCCAAACAGATTGGGTGCTGGCTGCCACGTCACATGGCTGTGACAGCATCGACAAAGCACGTGTGTATGTGCGCGTGTGTATGTGTGTGTAATCATCATCACACACACGACGGGCCCGGTGGCAACACAGGGGAAGAAATCAGTCGGGAGGCGTTGAGACGTCTTTCTTGCTGCTCCTGCTCCCGCTGCTGTTGTAGATGGTGGTGGTGGTGGTGGTGTTGGTCGGAGGAGGAGGAGGAGTCGGTTGTTCAGCCCTGATCGCGGCTGTTGGTGCTGGGGGCGGTTGATGGGAGAGTTGGTTTCGGAGAGGAATTAAAAAGGTTGTGGGTAGCAGCCTTAGGAGTAAACACATGCACACATGCCCTCCCCTCCCCTCCTCGTCGTTCCCCCTACTTCCTCACCTACTTCCTCACCTTCCCTCCATCTTCCCCCCTCCACCTTTCCCCCCCTCTACCGTCCTGTTCACCCTCCTAACGCGGCCGTTACGGTCCCCGGAAGCCTCACTGCCACTTCGCTGAGAGACACCGCCGGTGTGTGTGTGTGTGTGTGTGTGTGTGTGTGTGTGTTTTGGGGGGGAAGAGGGGGGCCCTGCTGGATCCTAGGTTGGGGCTGGTGGGGGCGGGTCTTAGCGGGCCGTTGGCGGGTCGGAGGGAGGGCGACGAGAGGAGCATTGCTGTCATCCCCGTGTTGACGAAGTTTAAACAGGATCTCGAGGGGGAGAGGAGGGGGGAGCTTGAGGGGGAGGTGGAAGGGGGAAAGGGGAGGGGAGGGGACTCGGGGGGTTTTCTGATTCCCTCTTCCACAAGGGGGCTTCCCCATATCCATGCACGCTAGGCCCACCTCCCTAGACACCTTCCTTTTGCGGTCAACAACAGTTGCCAACAACGGATCTTCTTACCTGACCTTCCCTGGATTGTTCGTACGTGTGTGTATATGTGTGTATGTGCGTGCGTGCATGTATGTATGTGCTATCTAACGACTTAACCGCGAGGAGGAGGTATTGAGAATGGGTGCGTATGTGCTTGGTCGTGTGTGTGTTTGTGCCTGTAGATTGGGTGCGTGCGCTTGTATTTGCGATACCATAACAGAGATATCGTACCTGAAAATCCCGTACGGCAGATATACTGTGAAATAACGGAATCCGGTGCTTGCCCGCCCTCCTCACTAGCCCTTTCCACGAAGTAACGAATTCCAACTAACCAACCAACCAACTACCTACAACAGATTCTTCCGGACCATACCGGCGAGGTGCTATCTCCGGCACTTTGCCAGCGACCGCAGCCACATGCGGCGGCCAGGCGGCGGCTGGAACGCGCCACCGCCGCCGTACCCGCCCCTCGTTGCCCCGGACGGTACGAGAAACAACATCCAGCGCTACTGGGATATGACCGTACAGCCCGCACACGCCGTAACAGCGACGGAGGAGGCTCCGGAAAGGCCGGGGCCGCTGCCGGGGCCTGGAGACGGCGGCGGTGGCGGTGGCGGCGGTCAATGTGGGAGCAGTCGATGTCACAGCGGCGGTGGTGGTGGTGGCGGCGGTGGCGGTGGTGCTGGTGGTGCTGAAGGCGGAGAAGAGGGCCCTCAGGACAGCGGTCTGAGGGTACCGACAGCCCGCCGCTTGGGCAGTGAGAGGGGTGGCGCTGTGTTGACGGCCACCGCCTCCGCCACCCCCACCCCGCCGTCACAGCTGCCGCAGTCCGCGGGGCTGCCGGTGGCACCATCAATGAGCCTGCTGTCGATGACGGCGGGGCTGTACGGCATCGTACTGGACGAGCAACAGTTCTTGGCCATGTTTGGTGTGCATGGAGCCGCCGCCGCCGCCGCCGGTGGTGGTGGTGGTGGTGGTGGTGGTTCATGAGGGCTTGCAGGCTAGGGCAGGTGTCCCTTCTCTTCGGATAGCGACAGGAGATGACATCACTTTCTTTTATGTCATCATAGGGTGCAAGTAGTAGCGAACATCGATAACCTACCCTGCCGTATTGTCGTGTAATTGTCGTACAGCCGGATCTAATGTAACGAGACAGAGAACGTGTATAAGAGAGGGGCGGCACGGGGCATCCAGATGCCGCATCATCAGACGCGCGGCCGCAAAAACGATTTGTGGCTTTCCCCAAGTCTTTGTTTATCTTTCATCTCGGCATGTATATGTCGTATCGATGCTATCCACACATCATAAATACGGCTACGGCTGGGGGGGAGGCAGTCCTGGACCCCTCAACAACCCCTCTTGGACTGCACGCGATATCAGGTGATGGCAGCTTTGTGTACGCTCTTTCAGTTTCTGCATCTTGACAAAGGAATACTGTACGGATGCGTACGACGAATTGTACGAACAATACAATCGCCGCTTTGAATGGATGAGACGACGCTGCCACAGGCGGGAAGATGCAACCAAATTAACTTCCCAGTACTTTAGGATCTGAATCTTTCGCATGAACTGTTAAAGCAGCATTTGCTTTATTGCTCCGGGTGTCGGTAGCTGGTGTGCTTCATCCGGTAGATGACGTCTGAGGTTTTGCACACACACACACCATTTGCAGCAAGTCCCTACCTGGCCATCAGCCGTCTCCGTCACCATGTCTCCAGTCGCCATGTCTTCCTGTCACTCATACACACAAGGTGAGAACCTGCACCCTCCACATCCACTACGCATTCCCTTCCCTTCGCGCCCGGAAGTGGCTCCGGAACCAAATGTTTGTTTTCCTAAAACTCAAAACCATGAGACCTACACAGGTATAGACATACATACATACATACGCACTTTCGCACATACGCCTGCAGAACCCTTCAACGAATATCGTTAGGACCCGAAGATAAAGAAAAAAGGAAGTATCGAACAGGATTTACCTGTCCGGAGAGAAAGGCGAGGAAAGGACCTAGAGGGAGGAAAACGAAACGCGCAATACCGTAATAGGTAAGAAGTTGCGAATTACTTTGTGCCCGGGCGGCCATTCCGACCTCGACCCCCTGCTGCTGCGGCGGCGGTGGCGGCGGCGGCGGCGGCGGCTGCCCTTGGCGGCTTCGATTCGCCCCTTGGCGGCAGCAACGTCGCCCCGCCCATAAAGCTCAACCCCACTGCCGGCGGCGACCCGGCAACCCTCCTGCTCCCCGCCGCCTTGCCACTCGACGTCAGAGAGGAAGCGGCGGCAGCGGCGGCAGCAGCCAGTTGCTCGTCCAGCTCTACTCGTACAAAGCCATCCAGCAACGGCGACCTTGGTGCCGCCTCCGCCGCCGACCGTTTTACTTCCGGCTCTCCGGCGGCCGCCTCGCCCGTTGGCTGAGATGGTGGCGGTGATGGCGGCGGCGGCGGTGAAGGGAACACCGGGTCAACCACCTTCTGTACGACCTCCTCTATCAGGCGAGGTAGCAGGTCGCTCAGATAGGCACCCGCACGGAAGGGAGCTGGGGAGGTGTTCACCTGGGGTCCGGGGAAGCGGGGAAGGGGAAAGGGGAAGTGTGTCTGTGTCTGTGTATGTGTATGTGCGTGTGTATGTGTATGTGTGCGTTGGAGGTTTAGAGGGGGGAAATGTACTTGTACGGAAACAGCGAAAACACTGTAAACTTTGGCACGAGATTCCTTTTGATTCCTTGAGTTTGCCAGGGATTGGGACTGTTTTCTCCTTCCTTCACATTCCCGCTCCTTTCTTTTCCGACAATTAACACAAACTACAATCACAATTGAATCCTCACTACTACTCACGTACGCCCACCTTCCTCTCCCTGTTTCATTCCCCCCTAGCCCAGCCACCGCCAACCACCGCCAACCACCGCCAACCACCCACCTCAATCAAGTAAAGTTTCCCTTCGTCGTCCAGCATGAAGTCAAGGCCCAGCAACTCGTAGCAGTGGACCAGACACCGGGGGTTCAGGCGGGGGCCGGCCACTGAGAACAAGGCGGCCACACAGCGCCGCATAGCGCCCCAAAGACCCGACTCGCACCCGGGGCGAGTGTCCAGTGCCACTGAGCTTGCGGTTGCGGTTGCGGTTGCTGTGGGGCCCGCTGCTGGTTCCGACGTCAATGGTGATGTTATTGCTGTTGCTGAAGTTGTCGTCGTCATCGTCGTTTCTGGTGCTGCTGGTGTCTGTGAAGCAGATGCAGGTGCAGGTGCAGGTGCAGGTGCAGGTGCACCTCCTCTCAAAGCGGGCCCCAGATCCTCCAGCGATAGCTTGCAGTGGTCCTCAAACGCGTGGTAGGTGTCCAGATGCTTCTGCAGGCCATGGGTTTTTGGTTTTAAGGTTTTGGTTTAAGGGTTTTGGGTTTAGTGTTTTGGTTTTAGGGTTTTCGGTTTAAGGATTTTGTGTGGCGGGAGCGTTAAAACCCATGAGGAGAGGCCCTGGCGCCCGCCGACATACATACATACATACAAACCCTAAGGGAAGCACCCATGGAAGGCAAGGTGGGACTCACACAACCTCAGGGCGCCGCCATACACGCGCCCCATGGCCCCCGTTTTCTACACTGACCACACACCTGTACAGCATCGTTGGTGAGATGTGCGGAGCGATTGCTCAGGTCGGAGCTGTCGTACGGTGTCGATGATGTACGGACGTACGCCTCCCTGTGAAACCACACGCTGCCATCGGGCCCAACTAGGACGTAGGCTCGAATGTCAAATTTGCGGCCCCCGAGCAGCATGGGGCTGTGTGAGGGGTACGGAGGGACCATCCGCATGTGTGTGTGGGGGGGAGGGGATGGGAAGGGAAGAAGGGAGCAGGCGCGCGGCACGTGTGTATGGTATGGCCGTGCGGTTCGAATATGTTCGGCTTGGTTGTGGGTGTGGGAGTTCCCCCGGTGTCCAATTGCGAACGTGTTTACTTCCGACCGCAACTACGACCGCAGCTGCAACCAGAGGAATGTGATGAATGCGGGCTGCTGGCGGGCGGGTGGGTGGGTGGGCGGGTGGGTTGTCCCGCGGCGGAGTACAAGGTGGCCTTGCTTCACACAAGCACAGAGGCCGAGAGCCGCAGCGGGCGGCGGCGGAGCACCAACACAATCCACCCAAGGAAGAACCAAACGGAAGAGCCAAAGGCCCCCCAGTCCCTGTGCGACACATCTCAACAAGCTGGAAACAGGCTGGAAAAGCAACACGGCCGGAGTGCCATACGTACCGTTCGATGTACTTCTGCAGAATGAGGCTGCTGCCTGTGTGGGATAAAAAAGCGAAGGAAGCGCAGATATGGAGGAAGGAAGCGGACATGGCGCGGACGGGAACAGGAAATTGGGTCACAGCTGGAAAAAGCGGCAGGGCGCGTGGTGTGTGTGTGTGTGTGTGTAAAGAGAGAGAGAGGTGTTTGACTGCTTGCGTGGTTCCGGATCCCGGCGGGTGGCAGGTGGGTAGGTGCGGGTTGGAAAGGAGTGGCGGTGCGAGCTACTGTGGATGAAATAACCCAGCGGAAGCACCGACCCTTCCCCCCAGGGAGAGGGACGCACACGTCGTGTTTTCCTTCCTGCTTATTCCGAGCAGCAGCAGTTCAGGAAAGAGTTAGTCCTGACGGGCAGGAGGGGGTTCCAGAGCGGGCCACGTCATACTAGCCCGCCTGGCCCTCCCGGAACCGCCCCTCGCCTAATCAGGCCATTGCCCAAACAAGCAGTGGGGCTCCCGCCAACCCTAAAACCGCGAGCCCATGGACCACTGACCCGCGGGTCGGCCCTTGATGTGCTCCAGGATACGGTCCAGGGAGTCAAATACCTCGATGCCGTTCCCCCGGTTTAAGCACGTGGGCTTGGCAATCCACACTCGCCGACCAGCAGCTGCATGGCGAGAGAACGCGGCTTTGAAAAGCGCCAACGAACTCCCTCCCGTTGCCACCGCCTTCGGACCCGCCGGTACGACGTAAGTCTCCGGAATCCAACTTGTATCCAACCCAGATCCGGATCCAGTTTTGGATCTGATTTCGCTGGACTCTATCGCGCTGGCGGCGGAGGCGGCAGTAGCAGTAGTAGCAACGGCAGCAGCTTGTATTGCCGCCAGCACTGACGCTAGGCCGCTCTTGGTGCAGATGACTTTGTGTTCTTGGAGCCGATTGACCAGGCGGCGTGAGGTGGGTTCTGATGATGGTGGGTGCAACAGCCGGGGAAGGTGGGGTCAGCCCGGGCGGCGTGCGGCGTGAGAGAGCTGCGAACTAGAGCAGTAGCAGCAGCGAAAGAGAGAGGAAGGGGGGCCAGAGAGAAAGAGAAAGCGAAAGAGAGAGAGAGAGGACTTGAACATATCAGCACGCCAGCGCCTGCAAGGTCTCTCGCCGCTTTCCCCCCTTCCTTGCCACGTCCCCAAAGACACCTAAATCCCCGCCATACACAAGCAATGCCGGTACCCGCACTGCTGCATGGTTCATCCACCCCGCCACCTGTCCCCCCATTCGCTAAACCCCTCCCAATGATCACCTCCTAATGCGCACCTGTGTTTCCCCCACTCCCACTCCCACACTGCCGCATCACATCCCACTGCGTGAAGCGCTGTCCGTTTAGGCCCGCCCACAAATTCCAGTTAGACGTATTATCACTTGCTCGCTGTTGGTGCTGCTGATGCTGTGGGTGCTGCTGTTGGTTGGGGCCCTGTTGGGCAGTCGAGGAGGACGCGGGTTCCCACCAAGGTCGCCTTTCAAGGGCCTCCCGTAGCAGTACGGATTCGTTACCCGGTAGGACGAGATAGCGGTACAAGGCACCGCTGCGCGGGCGACCGCGCACTGCGCCGGATGATGTGGGGGTAATGGTGCTGATGGGTGCGTTGGTGGTTGTGGAGGAGGCATTCGTGGTGGTGGGAGTGGTTGCGTTGGTGCGGTTGTAAGGGCTGGGTGTTGTGGCTGTGGCGGCGGCGGGGCGCCTGGGCCCAGGGGATTTGCGACCTGAGTTATTGCTGGTGGTCTTCTGTAAAATAATACGAGCGGGCCAGAAGTTTGGGGCGGGGGAGGGGAGTGTATTTCGCGCGGGAATAAAGAACTTTTGGTGGCATGGGGAGATCAATAAGATGGTTGTGCTGGTGGAAGAGGACGTGCCTGACCGTGATCGACTTCATAATGGATATTATGCGCTTAGCTCAAGCTGTTGGGGGTTAAACTTTTGAAGCGCAGAGTGTTAGGCTGGGCTTCGGCCAGCCATCCCATTATGCCTTGTTGCTCGCACTACGGATACGTGTATTCCAAAATCTTTTTAAGCTTCATAATCTTAATTTCATGCATAGGTTGCGTAATAATGCGAATTCCTCACGACCGCGCACCTGTACGGCCATGGCAGGTCTCCAAGCATAATCGATTGCCTGCTTGCCGTTTATGGATCTTGTTGAGCTAAATAAAACTGACAATATTCCCAAAAAAGGTATCACATTTTGTAACCTGCATGCCGCTCAAACCCCCTTTACAAGATGTCTTAAAGCGACAGTTAAGAGAGGTAAAATGGCCTGACATGAAGACGAAATACATAGATAATCATCGAAAGTAAACGCGCTACCTTGCAGGCCAACTGCTTAGAAGTCAACAGCTTTCCGTACGGGTACGAATCGGGACGAATACCATCAAGAACGTGGACTCTTACTTCCTGCTTATGTATTCACATTCTGCGGTCCTTATTGTATTATGCCTAATTGCTACTGCTGACGATGACCTTGGGATTGATGCCGGTATCTGATTCGGGGCGTTGTAAGTTGCCCCCGGACTGCGCACACAACGCATAACGCACAACTTGCAGGCGGAATGTAAACATGCGATAATCACCAAGTGCGCACTACGTATGTCTGTAAAGGCCTTCTTAGTCGTAATCGCGGCCATCAAAGATCGAACCGGAGTACTATGGCACCCATGCATCCAAGTGTAACAGCTACCGCAAAAACAACGCCGCCGGAGATGTGTGCCGCGGGCAAAATATCCAAATGCATCATAAGTAAGAAGTTCTTATTTTCGAGCCCGTGAAATCCTCTTTGACCGACATGCGGTCTTTTGGCGAGCACGATGCTGGCTTTCCGTGCTCCTCTCCTCGCCCCAAATTCTTCTTCTCGCGCATGCACACCTTCCTCATCACCGCACCTCTGCTGCTGAACAATAAGACCCACCGCTTACGATGCTTTAGATGCAATCACGGGCAGGCGCCAGTGTGCGGTCCTCACTCTCTCCCCATATGCACATGCGGTTCGCCCGAGTCGCATCCATCACAGACTGAGATTCACAGCCGTCCCAACATATTCAGATCACAGATCAATCACTCGCAAAATTCATACCCAACTTGCGCAACCTAACCAGTAACCAAATTTCCTCTCTGTGTGTTGCGGTTCCGGGCTTTCCCCCCACACTCACATTACCTCCCCCTTCTCATCGCTCTTCAACCCCATCATGGGCATCCTACGGTCTTCTCTCTCTCCACTCCTCCTCCTCCTCCTCCTCCTCCACCTCCTCCTCGTCCTCAGGTTTACAGCAGGGAACGACCTTCCTCCAACGACCTGGATTAAACCACTTCCCTTGTCGTCACCCAAGTCCCCTTCATTTCCCCAATTTCCCCCTCTCCCTCCACCCCAAGCGCGCGCGCACATACACACACACACACATACACACCACACACACACACACACACACACACACACACGCATGCACGCCCTCTTCAGTCCTTGGTACTCAGCTCGCCGTACTCCGCCGTTAGTTCCACCGCCGCCTCCGAGCCCAGGTTCGTCAGTATGTCGGGATGCCGCTGCAGCAGCCCCACGGGGTCCTGCCCCGGGAACGTGGCGGCCAGGTTCGCCAGGCAGCGCGACAGGGAGAGGGGGTCCACCAGGTCGGGGGTGGACTCCAGGATGGCGCAGGGGTTGGGGGCGGAGGAGAGCAGACGCATAATCTATGGAGGTGGAGGTGGAGGTGGATGGGGAGGTGGAGGTGGATGGGGAGGTGGAGGTGGATGGGGAGGAGGTGGAGGAGGATGGGGAGGAGGTGGAGAAGGTGGAGGAGGAAAAAGGATTTCGGAGTGTGGGGAAGGGGGAAAAGGGGAGGAAGGGGGTTGAGCGGGGTGTAAGGAGGGGAAACATAACGGGGGGTTCCAGGGTTTCACGAGCCATGTTCCCCATCGGAGGGGAGAAAGAGGTCGTCTGTCAACCCCCCGGTAGTGCTATCGGTGTTAGCCACCTTCACCGACAGAGCCGCTAGCTGCCTGCCCATTGCCACCTTGTCAACTCTCCCCTCTCCTCTCTTCATTTACCGACTGACTGACAGACTGACTAATTGACTGACTGACTTACAGATTGACTGACTGACTTCTAATCCCCACTCGCCAGTACGCATACCAGACGCCTCAGCAAGTGGGAGGGCCCCCTCCACACCTCCGAATAGAGGCGCCCGGAAAACCCAATTAGCTCCCCCCGCTCCCTCCGTCTTTGGGCATTTCCCCGCCTACTGGGCCCCCTACTTTCCCCCTTTCCCACCACCCCCCTCGTTTCCCTCCTTAAATACACACACGCACGCACACACACACATACACACGCGCACCTGTGCGGCGTCCTGCTCCAGCCTCTTGGTGGTTAGCAGCAGCAGCTTGGGCTTCTTAAATACGATTTTAAAGATATCGGCAGTTGGATACAATGACTTGAGCCTGACAGTGAGGGAGGGGGTGAGGGAAATAAACAGACAGTCAAACAAACGAACACTGGATACTGCACAGCAGGGGCTCCCACCACCATTACCACCACCATTACCGCCACCTAGCACGTTCTATGTCTTCCCCCCCTTCCCCCCCTTCTCCCCTCGGTGACTTACAAGATGACCTTCTCGGCTACGCCGTTGACATCGGAGGCAACTGTTGCCTGGGGACGGGACAGGGAGGGGCAGGGAGGGGAGGGGAGGGGAGGAGAGGAGGAGGGGGATGGAAAAGGGGAAACAGGGGAGGGGGGCTGCCTGCCTGAAGATAGCACCAGCAGACACACGCATACACACACGCACACACACGCACGCGCACAGGGGCGCGCTTCATACCTACCCAACATCCGCCTTCCTCCTCTTACCCAATGTCCCCCATAACACCACACACACACACACACCACAGACGTACACACATACACCTTCCGAACCCGGCCCATCACCCACGTGACACCTCCACCTTAATCCCCTTCCCCGTACGGCACTGACCCACCGACCCACCCAGTCGGAGGGCTTCATTCTGTGCAGGCTCAGCACTCCAGGTAGCAGGGCGTCCATCTGGGTCAGGCCGCTGCGGATGACGTCCTCCTGGAGCCCCTTACGACGACCCGCCTGCGTGTGTGTGCATGTATGTATGTGTGTGTATGAGCAGGTTGGGACGGGGGGGAATTGGAGGAGGGAGGAGGGAAAGAGGGGGAGTTGGAGGAGGGAGATCAGGCGAGTATACATGGTCAGGCGTGAACGCGAATGTGGAGTTCGGGTGTGTATTTGAGCGAGTGTGGGCTTGCGGGGATGGAGGCGGGGGAGGCGGGAAGGGGATGTGGAAGGATAGGAGGTCAGGAGGGAGGGAAGGAAGGAGGGGGAGGAGCTGCAGACGTGCTCGAGGTGGTTGCGCGGGGAGCGGATTTGGTTGGGAGCTGAATGGCAGGGAGAGGTACGGGGAGGGGGAAAGGAGGGGACCGGCACGCGCCACGGTGGGAGTTCCAGGAGCCAGGGATTTGAAAAGCAGGCTGCCACGTAGGATTTAGGCCTACTTCACTACATAGATGATAAGTGTAACCCACTTCATGAAGTGGGCAGAGTGAGGAGTTTCAATATTATTCTTTCCAAAAAATAAACTCTTGTAAACGCCGTAGGGCGGTTGCTTACATCGACGACTTCTTGGATGTCCTTTACGCGGCGACGACGCTCATGCTCGCTGGGCGGAATTGGAGGGGGCCGTTCGGCCGCATAAAGCTGGCTCATGCTGTAAGCCTGTTCATAGCGAGACTGCATGTTGGCGCGTAGCGCAGAAGAGTCAGTCGCCGGTGGAGGAGGGGCGTTGACATCCGCTGAGGCCGGCTCTAGGGTTCTCGCCGCCTCCTGCTCGCGCGCCGAAATCTCAACGGTTGTCAGAGCATTTTGGGACGCGCTGTTGTTGCATGTTATGTTCGTGCGCCAGGATCTCCGCGACGAAGGAGCCCCAGCAGAATTGAAGCAGCCGTTTGGGGCCGTGACAGGCCCTCGAACGAGATTGCTGATAGGACACAAATGATCAACAGTGAAATGTCCTATGGGTATCGAAGAGCTGGTACCTCTGGAGGTTGTTTTAGAGCATCCTCTGCAAGCTTGAGCGAGCGACATTTTGCTGCGCTATGACCTCCACCAGCGTGGTATCCTAAATTTATTTGCCAACTTGTAACAAAGTCGCCATGAATCGACTCATGTCGTGGCCCTTGCAAATTTGGAGTTGTAGGCTTGCAGAGTTGCAGCGGCCTAAAGTTGTTGGCCGTTATACAGGTAACCGTTGATGTTTGGCAGCCTTCTAAACTCTTCAGTCGTTCGCATGTCAGTTTTCATCACACCATCCTTTCAAGCATGCACGACCCAAACGCTTTAACTCTGTCCAAAAGCAAGACCCGCTGTTGGTACCTGTGGAACGGATATGGATTTCGATGCATGCGGGGTACATGTGTGCATTGCGATCACATGCTTCACAAAAGGCCATTGCAGTATGGGCACCAATACAAGAGATCAAGCTACGCCAGCTGCTCACCGGTTGTGGATATACAAAAGCCCCAAACTTCTGATGTCCCGGCTTAACTACATATGGGTGAACCAGAGCCGGAAGTTGTGTCTTGGGGTGAGAAGGATACGTGGCAAAGGAGACACTGTTTTCAACTGCGGCCGTTGATCACGCTGCTCTACGGCCTTAGCCGGACGTCGTCTTGTGTTTGCGGTGTCCCGGGTTTAGCAGGTCCAGACAGGTACTGTACGGCATGGTGGACACACCACCGATAACAGACACTAGAAGCCGGTGCACATTAGAAGCCGGTGCAGGTGGCATTGCATTCATGGTTTTGTGCTTACGATATATAACGGGCGCGGTGTCCGAAAGCATAAATCTGCTCCGTCTGTGTTCGTACGACGGTTGTACTGGTAAAATGTAATCGGCTTCGAGTCACTGTCCCGACATTTGGTAGCACCTCATCAACTCTTAGACTTGTGCGCTAAAGCATAGAAGTATCAGAGTCTCAATGGATTGGAGTCATTCCCGGCCCTTCTGCGGTTCCCTGACTCAGCCTTTGAGCAAGTTGTGCGCGATGCACCCTTTGCCAAACAATTGTATACACGACGGTGGAATGATGGAATTCAAAGTAGATACCGGCAACATGAATGAACCCGTTGAAAAACGCCGACATGTACGGAAGGGTGCACCGGTGCAGTAGTTAGGGCATGGATGGCGTCGTTGCGTTGTCCCAAGTGGATCACTGCCACATGGTTGATAGTACCTGTTTCTCTATAGACCGACAGCCATCGTAAGCAGGCACCTCTTTTATCGTAAACTGCTTACTCAACGCGATTATCGAGTCTAGACGCTTCAAGTTTGAGCTGATTTGAACATAATACATTTGTTAATATTAGCTCGTTGAGCGTTAGCTGCCGGCAAAAAATCTCCAACCCGCGCCAATCAAGCGCTCTCGGGGCTGGGCTTTCCAACGCAACAAATGTGTGCAGCCCCTCGCGAGATTGCAAGGCACACGGCTGAGCATTCTGGACGGCTTCTTGGATCGCGGGCGACGCATACAGCCGTGCAGGAGACAACCGTAGAGTCGAGGCAGTGGTCCAGTGGGGCCGTCGCAGCTGCGGCAGCGTCCGCTGTTGCTATTGCTTCAGCGGCTGGAGTAGCGACACTTGGATTACAAAGTATGGCAACGGAGGAGCCGCCGCCCACTACATCAATCGGCGCGACAAGCGCTGAAAGCTACGACGGGCTCTCTTTCGTCTCGGTAAGTATTGATTTTTTGAAAATAATTGGCCAATTCGACACCTCGTCACATATGGTTACGTAATTGGCCTTCTTTCTCGCACGAACGCTCTCACGTTGTGCGCCCATGACTCAATCCACGCTCTCCCGTGTCTCGCAAAACCTTTTAGGCAAAGCTCTTCACGCGTAAAACGTTTTGGCAAACATAAACACACCTACAGCTTAACTATCTCGTTTCGTTAGGCCTTCCCGGCATGGGTCTGTTGCTTGCCCTGCTCTGCAGCCATGCCTAGGCGACAGAAACCCTTCTTTCCCTTTCCTCTTTTCAGCACATGATAGCTGGGTCCGTTGCGGGGACAATCGAACACACGGCGATGCACCCCGTTGACACCATCAAGACGAGGATGCAGGCGATACATCCTCCAGGCCACGCAGGGTCCATGGTAAGGAGGGCCGTGCGGGCGGGCCCTATGCCACTAAAAATGACGTGTCACCCTTTAGCAAAACAAGCCATCTCAACAAAGTTGACACATGTGCTATGGGAACCCCCGGGCATATGCTGATGTCCCGGTTTTTGACGTACACCTCTGTCAGCGGCTTCTGGCGCTCATAGGGTCGGGGAAGGATGTGTTTTGTCTGGAAGGGGAAAACCCATAGAGACCTTCTTTCCCCTCATCCCGTCCCACATCTCACCCCAGGAGTTGCAACGGGCGATTGGCGTCAATGAACTGTGGGGGCGGGTGGGGTGGGGCGGGGGAGCTGATGTACGATCTGCTGTCCCCAAGGATGTTGTGGTCGTAACTCTTCCCTCCCGTCATCACCCCCCTTTTAATGGTGGTGCCCGTGTCCCCGTGATGACACGCACACACACGTGCCTTTCACGTCATAAAACACACGTGTCTTTCCCCTCTGTGCCGACCCTAACTCTCCCCCCCATAATCCCTCCCCCAGATATCCAGATCTTCGTTGCGGGAGGTTCTCCGTACTGTCGTACAAAAGGACGGAGTACGGGGGCTGTACCGCGGGGTGGGAGCGGTGGCGGCGGGAGCCGGGTGAGCGGGTTGTGGGCGTGTGTGTGTGTGTGTGTGTATAGGGGTGATTGGACGGGGCCAGTACCCAACAGCTCCCCCCCCTGGTAACGCAACTGCATGTATAAAATACCGCCACTATCACTACTGCTGCTGCTGCTGCTGTTACTACTACTTCTAATGCTAATACTGCTAATACTGCTGCTGCTAGGACGACGCAGCTATTGCACCCACTTAAAACTATTATGATGAACATTGATGTAAGCCGCGACAGAAATAAACAACACCAGCAGCAGCAGCAGCGAACGGTGTGTCCGAACAGGATTTGTTGTTTCGTTGGAGCAGATGGCAAGACAGCGAGGAGGGCAGATGGTCGAGGGCAGGCGGGCCGGCAGGGGTGACCCTGCACAGCCCTGTGTTGCCTCGCTAGTGCAGGAGCCCCAGTGCCGTACTACTGGTTTCACTAGCCCAGTGGGGGTATTGCCTGACGCCCTCCCTCTCCCCCCTGCCCGACCCCCCACCCCCCACCACCACGCCTTGCCATCAGACCTCCCAACCCTCCACCTTTCCTTGATATCGATATTGCATATAATCCCGACCCCCCAACCACCCCCCAACCAACCTATACACGCACACATTCGGACGTTACAGTTATTTTCTGAGTTCATTGCATTACATGATTACCCCTCCCCTCCCCCTTCCCTCCCCCCTTCCGTCATCCTGCGCTACCAGACCTGCACACGCGCTTCATTTCGCCATCTACGAGTGGGCCAAGCAGTCCCTGGGCGGTCACCGCGAGGGGCTGCACCCGCTGGAGACGGCGGCAGCGGGCTGCGTGGCCACCGTGGTGAACGACGCGCTCATGACGCCGGTGGACTCGGTGAAGCAGCGGTGCCAGGTGGGGGGGACTTGGAAGGTTGGGTGGAGGGGGGGGGGAAAGGGGGGGAAAGGGGGGGGGAGCGGGGGGAGTTGGAGGTGTGAATGTGAATTGGATGCAGCACAGAGAGAAGAGCACCGAGGGGGGCCTAGGGGGGCGAGGTGGAGGGAAAGAGGCGAGTCAGGAAACGTTTCGAGAGGGGTGGGAGAGGTGGGGTGGGTGGGTGGGTGGTGTTTGGATGCGGCGTGGCGAATGACGTGGAGTGCAGGTGAGGGGGTGGGGTGTTGTTGGGTTTGTGTGGTGTGTGTGTGTTGATCGGTTAGAAACTGTGTTGCGCGTGTATATGTATGTACGTATGTACGTATAGGCAGGGAGGGAGGGAGGGAGGGAGCGTGACTGAATGTCACAACATATACTAGCTGCAAGTGAGGAAGGAGGGAGGGGCATGAGGGGGGTACGAGCAACAAGTAAATAGACGTGTTACTCTACGGCAGATGGGGGTATGCGCATCCAACATTTGGCGTTGAGAAGTTCTGGGAGGACAGTTCCTTCCTGCGTGTTGTGGTTGCTTGTGTTACTTTGCTCTCCTCCTCTTTTACACAGCTCACTTCTCACTTCTGTACTGCAGTTGGAGGGGTCGCCGTACCGTGGCGTACTGGACGCCGCACGGCAGATGTTACGACACGAGGGGATAGGCGCTTTTTTTAAGTCGTACCGTACGACGCTCGTCATGAACGTACCATTTACCGCGATGCATTTCTCGGTGTACGAGACGGCCAAGAGGCTCGCTTGTCACGGTATGTGTCATGTGCTGTGTCACGTGCTGTTGGTGTGGTGGATATCGCTGAGCTCAAAGAAGGGCTCTGTTCCCCTTTTTCACACCGCGAGCACCCCCTTGGCGGTATGCCCGGCGGCGGAAATTAGCGTTGCTTTCATCATCAACCTTGGGCCTTCTTTACAACTTGGTTTGGTAGGGGGTGAAGGACTTAGGGTTAGCTTCCTCTTGTTGTAACAGAAATGTCTCTCTCTCTCCTCCCTGCTTTGCCTGCACCCCTGTCCTGTTCTGAGTTGTTGTTCTTGCTGCCGCTGATGCTAATGTTGATTTGCTGATGCTACTGCGACACCAGATCTGGACGACGAGACGTTGCGGGTGCAGCTGGTGGCCGGCGGGCTGGCGGGGGGCTGCGCGGCGGCGGTTACCAACCCGCTCGACGTGGTGAAGACACGGCTGCAAACCAGCGGGGCCACAGACCCCGCCAAGTACGAACAAACGGCCGTGGTGAGTTTTGGGACGGTTGGGGGTTTTCGGTTGAGTTCGGTTGGTGGGGTTCTTTTTAGGGCCTTTGGAAAGAAGCATGGTTTGTATGTGGTAAGTGGGATAAGGGTTGGGAGAAGCGCGGTTGTTTTTGAAGATTGAATGATCATCATTATCATCGTCATCATCATCATCATCATCATCATGATTTGGTACTTGTCACCTCGACACCATCTCTCCTCGTCCTACTTTCCAGCCACCAAACACCCACACAGTCCGCGCCGCTCCTATTCGCGCTCATCTGCGCCCCTTCCTCCTGCCCCCCTCCCCCTTCTCCCACCACCACCACCACCACCACCACCTCCCAGCTGCCCACGCTTCGTCAGATAGTCCGAGAGGAGGGCTTGCAGGCGCTGTGGCAGGGTATCAAGCCGCGAGTGCTATTCCACGTGCCGGCGGCGGCTGTGTGCTGGGGAACGTACGAGAGCATGAAGACCCTGTTACGAGGGCAGTGAGGGGAGGAGGGTTTTAGGGTTGCGGACGGTCTCCAGGAGGCAGGAGGGGGAGGAGGGGGAAGAGGGGGATGAGAGCGCCATGAGCTATGTGCGGGTGGGTGTCGGGCCATCTCTCTTTGTCCCGCAGGTGTAGGTAGAGGGTAGGGTGGGGTGGAGGAAGGAGAACTTGGGAAGGGGGTCAGGAAGGAGCGTGGTTTAGGAAGTGTGGTTTATAGCGGGTGTGCAAACCTATGTTAAGAAAATGATTGCCGAGGGCGGGAAGTGAAGACGCGATTCCCAAGGGGGGAGGGCGCTGCGCGGATGAGGAGGGGCAATGAGGGGGAGGGGGGGGAGGAGGGGGTTTAGACTTGAGAGGGGTGGTGTACTTTGGGGTTGCTTTGGGAAGAGGCGGCGCAACGCATTGGCGGTCGAACGCCGGTCTCCTCCGCCCGTGCACGCACACACATACAGAAACATGCAGAGATAGAGACACATGCATCATACCGGATAGGATGGGGGGGAGCAGGTCAAGAGAAGGCCAATGCGGGTTTTGGGTCGTACAGTCTTGCCGAGGTGAAGGAGGGAGGGAGGGAGCAGGCGATAATTGCGGTCGCTACGGGGAAGCCGTGGGATTGGGGCTGTACACCGTCATCAAGCGGTAAATTAAGAAGCCACCATCCCGCTACCTTGGAAAGCACGTATTGTTTTGCAGTGTGGGTGGTAATGACGATGTTTATGATGTTCTTTTACGCTCGCGCATCGGTGCTTTGCTCGCTCGCTAACAGCAGGGCGGATGGCCCCTGCTGGAACGCCAACAAAATCTGTACCACAACTGCATCAACTTGTCCTGATCCTCCTCGCCAAAATTGCATGGCACCAAAAACTTCCCGGTAGAATTTTCAAGCCCTTGCGAACAACTGAAGCAAGCACCAATATATCGCGCCAGTATGGTAATTTAAAACATTTTTTCTGTAACTCGTACAAGTGCAGAGGTCGCTGGCCTGGTAAATAATTAAGACATAACATCTTCTTTTTTCCGCAGGGAGATTGCTGAAAGGCCATCAGTGGAGATGGTCCTGCATGTTAGATGCTGCTGATGACGGATTAGCTCGTCAACGCAAGCGTAGCCATTACAGTAGCTAGGTTTAAGTACAATACAGGTGAAAGTGCACAGTGCATATGTGGGGGGGAAAATTCGTGTGGTCATATGCGACTACGCTAGAAGGTGCCGACCTTCAAGGGTCGTCCCACCTGTTGGCTGCGGGACTTGCACTCTGCTGGTGTATTTAAACGCACAACAGCGGGGAACAACCAAACGTATTGGCAACGGAAACAAACGGCTTACAACACGAGCAAACGTGAATAAGGGACGAGCCGATACTTCGTGCACGCCTAAAAATCGGATGTTTGTAGTTCCTCCGTCTCAAGAGATCGTGACCCGCGATTGAACATTCGTGGAACGGTATACTCTGTAACAATACAGAGGTTGTCCAGTGTAATTTTAGTTTGCTAAAATTTAATAATTTGGTTATTAATGGTGAGGTCGGATTTTAGTGTTTGTGTGTGTGTATGTGTGTGTGTGTATGTGTGTGTGTATGTGTGTGTGTATGTGTGTGTGAAGACGTTTTCCTTGATGCAGTCGTTCCTATGAGGATTGTGGCTCAATGTTGGGGGGAGCTGTAAGCGCATTTTGGCCTGTGTTTGGCGGTTGATGGCGACTGCCGAGCGTGCAGGAGATGCAGTACGTTTTTTCCAACACCAAGGAAACCGATTTGCCAGGCGATATATTGCAGCACATGCTCTACTCCGCTCCTGCCGCTGCAGGTAATCGATTTCCGTGGCGACAGGATATAGTGAAGTACGGATACGGAGACTGTGTACGGCACATGCGATCTAAATTTTTTATATGGCAACATATGGGCATATATTCCTGGTTTGGCTTTAAACTCTTTGTTCGGTTACCTTTTCTCCTCTCACGTCCAGAGCAGAGGGCAGGGGGCCCCCAGTGCCGTCAAGACATGCATCAACATTCTCGTACACACTCTACACATCTTGTTCAAAATTCAAAATAGAAACGAACGCGTCACGTCTGAAGTCCACCGCAGCCCCCTCTTAAATGCAGCTGCTTACCGATTTGACAGTACGACGTTTTTCAGTGCAGGGAAATCCGAGACAGCTTTCTGAGGTCAAAGTTGCCGCACCCTGTACGACAATTTTTTCATGATTGGCATGCAATCATACACATTAACACAACAGCGGGGACGCTCGTCGCCCCCTCTGACGCTATCGCTCTCCTTCACAAAACTCTCTGCCTTCACAGACTTAAGAAATCTTTTCTCAGACATCGCGCGCACACAAACCAGCGGCCCCCACCCGACGTCCCGTGTCAGAACGAAACTCCCCACCGGGGCCCCCCCCGCCGAGACCCCCAAGCTTTAAAAAAAACCCGGCCGTCCGTAATCTCTCAGACCAGCCGTACAAGAAAATCCTTAGCTGCGAGATGCGTTTGGGTCCTCGAAGTGTATTGTCCTCCGTCCGGCCTCCCCCCCCCATGAGGAGGCGCTGTTTCTGCGGCCCCTCCCTCCCTCCCTACTCCCTCCCTCGCTCGACACGCAAGACGACAAACACACATACAACAACTCTACAGACAGACAGCAGCCTTCATCGCCATCCCCCTCGTCCACATGCATACACACATACGTACATACATACACACACCCCGAAGAAAGAGCATTAGGCCTCGCTTTCCCCCCTCCCCTCCCCTCCCCTCCCCATGCCCTTTGCACTAAAAAAGGGCCGTCCCTCGCATCGGATGAGACGGTAGGTGTGCATGTTACGACACACAACTCCGTCCACACATGTCCACACATGTCCACACCTGCACAGGCATGCACACACCTGCAGCAGCAACAGCAGTGCACTCCGGTTCATCACCAAAGATTTATTGTTTAAAAATGCCCACCGCCCGCCTGGGAACGCGGCCCCAGGCGGCCCCTAACCCTGAACATGTGTACCCCCACGCCCCGCCAATCACTTCATGATGGTGGTGAAGTTAGCCCATCAGAAGCTTCTGATAAACACCCCGCGCAGAGTGTACCGTCCAGGTAGACAACGCTCTCCACGAGCACACTATTCCCACTGCCCTTCCATGCGAAGTGGACCTCCTTTTCCTACAGGCTGCTCCCGCCCCGTCATCCTGCCATCGCCAGACATCGTGCCAGATGGCCACTTTTTGAAAAGATCAAAAGCTTTTGCGCAGAATTATACTCCTCCCCCTCCTTCTCCTCCTCCTGCTCCGGCATATCCAGCTACCGATCCCCAGACCTACTTCCCCTCCTTCACCCGTCACTCGATGGAAACAGGCGGGAGGCCGTGCTGCCCTGCTGCCCCCGTCGCGTGCGCTAACGAGAGGTGGCTAGCGCGAGTTTCTTGAGAGCCCTAACCCCCCCCGCTGCTCCCCCGCTGCCCCCCGCAACGGAGAATCGGATGAGAGACCGGGTGAGCTTTCTAATAGGACCTCGTGCCTTAGTTGGGAGGGGTTTAGGGTATGTGCAGGGTTTCCGAGTTTCCGCTGCCTTAGTGTCTTAGGGTTTTAGGCCCCGAAACACGCACAGCCAGAAAATGCAACAGCACGCCGCGTTGAGTATGTATGCATGTATGTATGCATGTATGTATGCATGTATGTATGAATGTGTGTTTCGTTGAGTGGTAGGCAAGGACGAGAAGGAGAGAGAGAGCACACAAGGTAGGGAGCCACGTGGGAAGGAAGCCGCGCGGGATTGCGGACTGGCAACCGTACGACCTCATCATGCTTTATATTTGTACAAATGTACTTCGTCCGTGTCGTACGCCACCACTGCCACGTCATCCGAATTCGCGCCGCAAAAGGCCACCCCAGTCAGCATGGCATGCATCCAGCACACGCTCAGCAAACACTCGGCCTGCGGGGGATTGTGTTTTTGGGGGGGCGCCCCCGCGGACAAGAGAGAGGAAGGCGGATTTATATAATGGAGCAGGCGGGGTTCCGGTACGGAAAGAAAACACACGGGCCACGCATGCGCCCTACATTGCGAATAAAGGCTGTGTGTTGTTACTCGTTATTTCCCCCCTCGCCGTCCGTCCTTCCTGCGACCCCTACAGCTGCATGTGCTCCTCCCCCCTCTTTTCCCCCTCCTCCTCCTCCTCCCCCTCCCCCTTCCCCTCCTCCCCCTTCCCCTCCCTCCGCACCTTCGCTCCCCCAATGGGCAGGCCCCACACCCCCAGAGAGCAATCCTCCGAAACCGTGGCAATGATGTCCTTCGTGGGGTGGATGTCCATCGCGGATATGAACCGGGAGTGGGCGCCAAGGTCGGCACGCAGCTTGCCGTCACGCTGCATCACAAGGTGAGGGGGAGGAGGGGATGTGAAGAGGTTTAATTCAGTTGCTGGCTAGATCGGTGGTTAGGGATGCCGTACAAAAGGGATCCTAGATGAGCTGAGCCTTCTATCCCTTCAATTAAACCCTCCCCACGCACCCTCCTGAGCCCATGCGTCTACACCTCTCCCTGCCGTACTCACCAGGCCGTACAGCTGTACGGCACCGTCGAGCCTTGCCGCCACGACTAGGTCCCTCCGTACTGCCACGGACACCGCGGGCTGACCAGTGGGTGGTACGGCGGTCACCAGAGAGAAACCCTGCTTGCCGATCCTCTCAGCCAGCCACACGGCGATACCGCCCGCCTCATCACAGGTAACCAAATGGCACCCTAGGTCCTCAGTCCACTTGCCCTGGCGGCACAGGAGAGTGTGTGGGTGTGTGTTAGAGGGGGGAAGATGAGCGGGGGGGGAGAGGAAGGGGGGGGAAAAGGGGGAGAAACGTGTGAGAGGTAGGCATTCAGCGAGGGCCGACTTCCGCCTAACAGAAGCAGCAGCGCGACAGCATCCACGGATACGGGATTATCCAACTGCCACGCCATACATCTGAGAGCCATTCGCGGCAAAAATGGCTCGTAACAGCACAACACCACCGCCACCACTGCTTTCCAACCTCCGCAGGAGTTAGGTGCGAAAATCGACGGGAGGGCGGGAGGGAGAGGGGGAGAGAGAGTGCAGGAACTTCCCTTCCAACCACCAACCACCAACCACCTCGCAACCACTCACCTGCCGTGACTGATACGCCGACCCCACCGCCGTGATAGCCGTCTTGTGGTGCTTTGGCAGCGGCACCAGCGCGCTCTTGAACTTGCCATCCGCCTCGGAGAGCTCCAGGGCGAATACGGCACCCGCGGATGTACCGAAGCAGATGTGCGGGGTGCCGTCATTGGCCACGTTAATGGCCACACCCCGGGCGAAGTAGGCGGTGTTGCGAGCAACTTCGGACGCACCCGCGGGGGGCAGCGGGCAGACGTGGGTTAGGTGGGTGATGGTGTTGTCCCAGATCTGTAGGGTCCCACAGATAGGGGGGTGGGGGAAAGACAGGGTAAGCGCGGGGGCCGGGGTGGGGTGGGGGTGGGGTGGGGGGGGAAGTGAGCGTGTGGGGCGGGGCGTGGGGGAGGTGGGGTGGGGGGGGTGCGTTATGGGTACATGAGTACACGAGTGGAGGGGGGTGTTGAAGGGAGCTGCTGAAAGGGGTCACGAGTCGGCCTGGATCGCTGGGAAAAGGTTCTGGATTGCGACTCAAGACGAGCTGTGCCCCCGTCAGCCCCCAACCTCAAAACCCACCCGCGGCGCCATGGCTTATTCCATTACCCACCTCCACCTCCACCTCAAATTATCACACACCCCATCACTACCCCCAACTCCACCGCTACTTCTGGCGTATCAGTCTATCAATCCTCCGCATCAGCTTCACTCGCTCGTGGTTCGTCTTTCCCCCCCCCACACACACACGCACATCATTACCTGCAGCACCCCATCCTACACCCTATCCGACTCTTACCTGCAGCCCTGCGTCCGTCGCCAGCACTAGAAAGGTGGCTCCGTTGTGGGAGCAGGACACCACGGAGTGAATCACGTCCGCGTGAGGGGAGTCGAGCTGGGTGGAAGGGGGTAATGAACGCGCCCGTGTGTGTATTGTTTTGGTGGTTGGGGTGGGGATGTGGAGGATGTGGTTGGGGTGGGGATGTGGAGGACAGGGCAAAGTTGCACATGATGCGGGTATTGATGTGTGCGTGGAGGGGATGGGATGAACGCGGCATACAAAGACGTTAAAGGCTAGCCCCATGTTTTCCATGCGGTGCAGGATTTTAGTCACCGAGCCAAAGAACTGGGCGAGGGCTGAATGGCCCGGGGTTTGGAAGTACAGAAGGTTTATTGCCTGTGTTTCCCTGGCTTCAAATCCTCAGTTGTGCCAATATTCATACCTTGCGAACCGCAACGGGAGGGCTTGCCACCCCGGAAACGGGAAACGCGCAGGCCTGCAGTTGGCATTTGAAGGCCGGAAGTGTTTGAGCGCATGTTGGGGTTAATGCGAAAGACTTGGACAATGCTGCCCAGCCTAAACATATTTTAACGAACAGAAGCTCCTAAAAGCCATGACCGTGCATCTTGCGCAGGATCATGTAGGACCTACCTGCCGAATGTGTGCGTAGATAAGAGTTTCTCCGCAAGCAGTTAAGTTATTATAAATCAGCGAGGGTGAAGGTTTCATTGGGGCCTGCACTCAACGTAAAATGAAGGTTATGAGGGCCGTAAGCCCTCTCCTACCGACAAAGGACTTTCCACTCCTGGCGCACCTTCAACATTTGACTTTCCGAGTACGACATTTTATTGTATCTGTTACAAAGTTATACAGGGAGGTCTGAGGTTGGAGCGTCACAGAGGCACAAGAGCGTCACAATGGCGGGTCACAAAGTGCGTTGATGTAAGGGATACGGCGGAATTAGCCAAAATCAGTTCCCTATCGTCTCGTATGACACCACGAAAGCTTTCAGCGCTTCATGCTTTCATCCTTTCCCTTTCCATGGAGTTTGTACGGCCTAACGGTTTTCTTCCATCCGTCGTTCAGTGATTACAGCAGTAGCTTTATGTTCCTTTGTGCAATGGCCTGGGAAGGTGTAGTCATTAGCGACCTTTGAATTTGCTTCAAGGTAGTAACATTGCATTAAGAAACGGTTGCTGGCGATATTCTCTTTCTCGCTAACTGAATTTCCTTGTGCATAGATCTTGTCCTAAGGCTTTAAATTTAGTTAGTAGACACGTATATACCACGAGATCGCTGGGCGGCTTGGAACGGGGGATTATAGGCCAGCATGCTGCGCTCTCCAGCGCAAGCGCCGCAGGGCAAGGCTGGCGTTCATGGAACCCGAAATCTGCCATCCACCAAATGGGCGACGCGAAGCTGCATGGTCTTACCGCAGCGCCGGCCTATCAGGACGGCGGTGCTACGATGCCGCGCCAGTGCCGCGCCCGAAAACTCGGACCCAAGCAAAGCTGCGCGCCCAAGCTTCCTCGCCTCTATCTTCAAGTGAGCAAATCATACCTCCGCCGGGTTTCTATGCACGTCTCCACCTTCCACCCTTTCCCCTGCCACCCATCGGGTCCGGGCCAGCTAGTCAACCCTCGCTCTCACCTAATTGACAAATGTGGCAAGAACACATTATTCAGGATAATTACGGTCCCCAGCTCTCCCTGCGCCATGTTAAGGTTTTCCTGTCCCTACAGTCCTGCCGCCCGCACAACCCTTCCAAAACCCTCCCTTCCCCCGCGTCGCTCTTCCAACCCCTCCCCTTCTCCCTCCCCCCTCCTTCCTCAAGCGTGTGTCAGCTGTCGGCAAACGCCCGGATTCGACTGTCAATTTCTCTCTCTCTCCCTCACACTCTCTCCCTCACACCATCTCTCTCCCTCACACTCCCTCACTCCCTCACTCTCTCTCCCTCACTCCCTCCCGCACACTCTCTCTCCCTCTCATGTGTACTTCCCGCGCCGCTCTGCCCCCCTTGAGGTCGCTGTCCGACTACGGCATAGGGCGCAAGAGCATCTGGGAGGGCAGTGTGGGGCTCTTCCTGCTGGCAGGCTCGGCAGCGGCAGTGGCGCTGGTGGCATGGGCTCGCGGCAATGCCATGCGTACGGGAACGCCGTACAAGGCAACCATTGAGTTCCCGCTCGCTTGCGGCATCACGGTGCGTGTGCGGCGCGTGTTTGTGTGTGTGTGTTTGTGTTTGTGTGTGTGTGTAAGGTGGTGGTGGTGAATGTTGGGTAAGCCATGCGCGGATCATGGCGGCCTGTTTCCCCCCTTCCCGTCCATCGCTCTTGCCATCCCCGACTTTTCAGGCTCCGACCTCTTTATATATTGTTGGCAACCCCCCTCCCGCCCGCTGGATTTCCTCCCCCCCGCCCCCCAAGTCGGTCAGTTCTACGTCTGGTACACTCTTGCCCTGGCAGCAGCTTCACTCGTTCGTGGTTCGTCTTTCCCCCCCTCTCCCCCCCCTCTCCCCCACTGTTCACTTCCTCTCGTATAATTCCCCCTCCCCCTCCCCCGACCCAGATCGGGACACCAGTTCGCGTTCGCGGCGTCCAGGTGGGGCAGGTGCTGGCGGTGAAGCCCTCCCTGGAGCGCGTGGATGTGCTGGTGGAGGTGAGAGGGGGGTGGAGGAGGGCGCCTCTGAGGCCACGTGGAGGGGTAGGACGAGCCACCGACGAGTGAAACAGATACCAGAGATAGAAGGATACTCGAGGAATAGACAGATACAGAGGGAAGGGGGAGGGGGGGTTCTGGGGAAGGGTTGGGCAAGGGGGGGGACACGGAGCAAGGAGGGCTTGGGAGCGGGAAACCACATGATGATGAAAGATGCAGAAGAACCACTTGACAGTCCAAGTTTAAAGGGAGAGGTGAGGGGGGTGAAGTATCCGCTTCCGAAGGGGGTCGAAGGGGGAAGGGGAGGTTGCGGAGCTGCTGGGCGAAAAGGGCCGGGAGAAGGGGTGGGGGTTAGGTGGGTTAGTGGCAAATGGAACGACAGAGGAGGATGGGAGGGGGTAGGTGGGTGCTGGGGGAGGTGTGTCTGTGCTTATGTGGGGCGGGGATCTGGTCGGGGGGATGTGGGTCGAAATGGGTTTCCTTCCGTTCACCACATTTGTGCATTCGGACATACGTACATACGTACATACAGTCAGTCAGGGTCGAAAATCCTTCCCATGGTGGAAGGTAAAAGCGCCCTAGTCGATGGACGGTAGTGACCTGGGATAAAGTTGACTCTCGAGCCAACCAGGAATGGAGTCGAGCCGCCGTCGATCCGGCAGATTCCGTTGGATGCTGGTGGTGGGTGCGGAACCTGAGCGATCCACTGAGAAGTTGACTAGGGTGACTGGTTGAGGGTGCCCCGAAACACCGAGGAAGGCAGGGTTTCGCCGGGTAGTGGCTGCAGGGTGAAGATGTGGCCCCCCCCTGTCCCACACATCATACATACGTACGTGCGTATGTACGTACGTGTTTTCCCCCTTACCACGAACCCCCCCGACCCCAACCCCAACCACTCGTGGCTACTCTCGGCCCCCACCCACATCCCCCACCCCCCTCCTAAAACCCATTCCCCCCCCTTCCACTCCCGGTTGTCAGGTGAACGATGTGAGTACGGTCATTCCCCGTAACTCGGTTATAGAGGCCAACCAGTCGGGCCTTATTGCGGAGCCCCTGGTGGACATAACACCGCAGGTAGCTGTGGGTGTGTTTGTGGGTGTATGTGTTTGTGGGGGGGGGAAGAAATGTCCGGTTGTATACGGGTGCTTGGGGGAGTGGGGGGGAACAGAAGGGGGTGTGGGGGGGAGGTTGGGTAGATGTGGGCATGTTCGTCTTCCTTTCCATCTCCTGCATCCGTTCCTTGCGGCCCTCCCTGCCCCTCCCTCCCTCAGTTCCCAGTTCCCAGCTACACGGCTCTCCCCCACGAGCCCCAATGCGCGGAGGAGGGCGTGTTGGTGTGTGATAACGGGCACATCCCCGGGCGGCAGGGGGTGGCTCTGGACGACCTGGTGTATATCATGACTCGGTAGGAGGGTGTGTGTGTGTGTCTCTTCGAGTATGGGGCTGGTAGAGGGTGTTCATGTGTGTGTATATGTATGTATGTTGTTACAGGGTGGTATATAGCTTCACCAGCGGCCCCCTTTCCCTTGGAGGCAGTTCCCTGCTCTCCCCGTCGAGAGGGGCACCCTAATCCGTCACCCCATCCGACTTCAGAATGTATTCGTTGGGTTCAGCAACTCACCACCAGCATCCAACGAAATTTAGCGGATCAACGGCGCCACAACTTACTATGTATGTATGTATGTATGTATATATGTATGTATGTATGTCCCCAATACCCCCCTCCTCCTCTCCATCCGCCAGACTCGCCCGTCAGGCCGAATCAGACGGTGTGGACAAGGTGTTTGCGGCGGCTGAGTCCGCCACCGCCCTCATGGCGGAGGCAAGGCCGCTGGTGGCCACCGCCGCGGACCTGGTGGCGGAGCTGACACCGCTGCTGGTGGAGCTGCGGAGCGGGGGACTGGTGGGTTGGGTACAGCTGGAGTGGGTGTATTTGGGGGGGGGAGAGGGGGACGGGAGGTGCAGGGAGATGGTGTGTGTGTGGATGGTTGGGGGTGTGTGTGGTGAGCTGGGGTCCTCGGCGTCCTGTCGAGAATGGGGTTCGGGAGGAACAGTACGAGTTTGGGTTTTAGGGTGGGGGGGATGGTGTGGGGGGGAGTTACGACGAAGCACAGACAATTGTCGATAAGGAAAAGACATAGAGGGATGTGTGGGGGGGAGAGGCGAGGTGGAGGTGCTGTGAGAGAGCTGTTGTGTGCCGCGCTAGAGCTCGTCGTTTTTTCTACTTGACGTACGACTACTTGACTTGACGTGCGCGTGAGGGTGATATTATGTTGTTGTTCTTTCTCTAAAGCAGATTTGGATAAAACAACAACACGGAGACATACACACACATCTCACATCTCACATGCACGCGAATGAATAGAGGTGTATTTATTCTTTTTCTTATGGTCTTGCCGGGTCCTCACCCACTCCTTTGCCGTCAACCGCCAACCGTCAACCACCTCTCCCTCCCTCTCCCTCCTGTCGCAGGTGGGCAACATTGAGGCGCTCACACGTACTGCGGCTGATGCCGCAGCCGACATCCGGCGGCTGCAATCTGCCGTGCTGACGGAGGACAATGTACGGGCGCTACGACAGGCGGTGCTGACGCTGTGCAAGTAAGTGTCAGTCCGAGGGGGGAGAGGGGAGGGGGATGAGTCCGCCCGCCGTTGATACCCCCCCCCCCAGTGTTGGGGCCCATATATCGTTAAATCATGACAATTGAAATTTTTTATTGAGTACACTACGGCAGATTTGAGTCCATTTCGTTGGTGCTCTGGGACTTCGGCACTGGAGATTTGATCCTCTGCCCTTTGGTTTTGCTGATCCCCACATCCCCTGAAACCCCTAAACCCCCACACCCACGCGGCTCCCCGGGCCCCCGTCCACATACCTCCACCTAATGACCCTTCCCGTGCACTCAATCCCCCCCCCCCCCCTTCCTCCCAACCCGGTCCCCGCCACCCGTCCACAGGACTCTCGACCACGTGGAGAGCATTAGCAGCGACGTGTCCCTGTTGGCGCGGGACTCCGGAGTGCAGAGGAACCTCAAGACGCTGGTACAGGCGCTGTCAAGGCTGCTTGACGAGTAGGTAGAGGAAGCAAGCAGACAGCGCAGGAGAGGCAGGGGAAGGGGAGGGAGAGGGGGGTTACGAGGGAAATGGAGGGCCTTGAGGGCGGCGGGGAGCAGCGAAATCAGGCGGGGGGAGCCGCGGACGGAAGGGCTGTCCAGCTCCGAAGGGGGGTTGGGAGCGGGAAGGAAAGAAGGTTTTTGAAAGGGGGGGAGGAAATGTGTGCTGGGGGTTGGTGGGAGCGCGGGTAGCGATGGGCACTGATTGGGGGTTCGTGAGAGTTTGGACCGTGCCGTAGTGGCAGCGTGCGGGTGGGGGGTTAGGGGATCGGGTGGGGGGGTTAGGGGATCGGGTGGGGGGGGTAGGGGATCGGGTGGGGGGGTAGGCGGAGAGGACCACCGCCCCATAGAGAGAGCTGCTGGCAGCGGGCTGCGGACTGCTGGAAGGTGGTAACGGAAAACTGTGGGAAACGAGGGGGATGTTGGCGATGTCCGAGTGGCGATGGTAAGGGGTAGGGGGTAGTTTGGACTGGGGTCTTCGGACGGACCGGATGCGGGCATCCAATGTGTTTTTGTTTGTGTGTACGTGTGTCTGTGTGTGGGGGGTGGGTGGGAAGGGGAGACCCTTGGGGATGAGGATGAGGATGGGTGGGGGTGCGGATGTGGGTGTCGGGATGCAGGTCGGCGGAGGGGAGGGCACCACAGTCTGGATCCGGACTCGTTGAAGCAGGGCGCAGGAGTTGTGCGTGTGGGTGTGTGTGTTTGCCTGTGTGCCTGTTGTGTGCGTGTTGTGGAGGAATGGTGGAAGGGAACACATACACTTGCGTTGTGTGACATTTCCCGCGGCGTCGCGGCTCAGACCATTAAAAAAAACACTTGCGTTGGCCTTGCCGTGCGGCATCGTGTGAGGTAAGTGTCGAGCGCTGGGTGTTTCACGTGCTGGACGTTTGGGAGCCGCAGCAAATGGCAGCTGATAACATTTGTTTCTCGAACCCGTTTTTCACAGTCACAGGATATGATAATGATGATGATGATGAGGAGGAGGAGGATGAGGCCAGTAGTGGTGGTGGTGAAGACTGTGTTGTTCGTGGCGGGTATATGCATGCGTGCTTGCGTGCGCGTGTCTGTGTCTGTGTGTGTGTATGTGTTCATATAATCGGCCGGTGTCCCCGTCTTCATGTGCCTATGTATGCAAGAGTGTCTGTCTGGAGTACGCGGTTGCACTTGGGGGTTGATTTATAAACCCCCGCATTCTTAACAGGATCCAAATCCGAAACCCAACTCCGCATTCAAATCCTGATCCAAAGCAGCGCCTTAATGGGTGCTTACAAAAGTTGTTTTCCAGTTCGTTCCAAGTGGCGTACGAACACTCCTGTGTGAGGTGTACGTCTGTGCGGCCGAAACCGTCTGCCGGACAGCACACAGCCGCAGTGGCAGTGGCAGCAGCAGCAATGGCAATTGCAACAAGGGCCCTCTAAAATCGCTGGATGTCAAATGCCAAAGTCCAACATTGTTGAGGAGCGAGAAACCATCGCTATGAAGAGTCTTTTTGAGTAGCTGCCAAGTAATCAAAAGGGCCTTCCCGTCGAGGAAGCGGAGAATCCACCCTTGACAAGGGGCTGTTCTCTCTCTGTGTATGTGTGCGTGTGTGTATATGTGTGTTTGGGATCATCTGTATCTGTGCGCGCGCGCGCGTGTGTGTGTGTGTGTGTGTGTGTTTCAATTTTTTACTGAAGATGAATTGACCAACCAAAGAGAGCCATGCAGCATGTGCGCACGCGCACAGCCGCCTGCTGCGACGAGCGCAGCGACCGCAACTACGGTATCCGGCGTGTAGGCCGCCGCCGCAGCAATCAATCACCTCCATCACCACCGGTTCACCTTCCCACCTGCCGCAAGGTATGGCCGAGTGTAAAGACCCCCCACCCCCCAATAGAACGCCGCCTTCGACATGCTCGAGGTCTATCTCGTCCTTACGTCCGCCTCACCCCCCCCCCAGCAAGCCACCTAGACACCCCGCAGGGAGGCGATATTACATGCCTTCAACCATCAGGGTTTGTGCCTTTCACTCCTGGCGGTATGAGAGGCCACTAAGCTGATGGGCCAGGAGGTTTCCTCCCCCCCTCTACACACACACACACACACAAACAGGCATCCGTGCAGCCGGACAGCACAAGCATACCGGGCCATCCGGCATGCAGCTGCAGACCCACCTTACCAGCGAGTTAAGCAGTACTAAACTATACTTAGAACTAACAGCTAAACATAGCCAACTCTACCAATAAGCTTTCCAAGATGTTGTCGAAGGTTGCCATGTGTATGTTTATGGTACCTATGTAAGGCAAGGCACATATACAGCATCTGTTCGCATGAAAGCAAAAGCAGTCGCGTATGCCGTGTACATATGTCCTTTTTTGTTGTCATTGTTGTTGCCGTACAACTGTACTACGGCTTATGTACTGCGGCTGCATCAGCAAACCCATGTGGTTATGACGAGCACGACAGCATGCATACACCCGGGCGACGAACCATCTCCTCGGGCGGCAATCCTGAATACTTGGCCGCCGTGTCAGGCTGATCGTCGTACGGCCTGCACGTGCGGGGAACACGGCGGAAACACGGCGGAAACACGGCGGAAACACGGAGACATATGACATCCGGGAGCGCCCCCCCCCAGAGGCACATGGGGTCCGCAGCCTAGTGCACGTAGCAATGACATGTAGCATCACATCATCCCATGTGGGTGCATGTTGCGTGGATGGATGGGTACGTAGTGGATAGGTACGTAGTGGATGGGTACGTAGTGGATGGGTACGTAGTGGATGGGTACGTGGCGGAAATTCCTCATGCAACCAGCGCCAGGCCCGCTGGCCGAATCCCCGGTCCTTGCGTCTTTTACCCCCATCACCCCCATCCCCCGCGGCCACCGCCAGGATCGCCGCGGACTGTAAAACCAACACACGGGCCACGAGACGCACACGCATCCACCCATACGCATAATTCAGCGATCACATCTACTACTTCATTACCAGACCGCTACAGGAGCTACTACAGGAGGATAAGGCCTCATACGTCGGTGACGTCCTCCTAAGGCATCACGCGTGAGACTTCCTTCCGCAACCTGTATGTATGTACTTCGCCAGGCTCGCAGTTGTGATTAAACACATAGCTATCCACCACCACCACCACCACCACCACCACCAACAACAACAACAACAACAACAAGCACCACCAACAACAACTCTTACCACCTTCCCAGTCTTCTGTAGTTGTCTCTCAGACTTACGCGCATCCCCACATTCCCGCTCTACCCTCTCCTCTTCCCCCCACAAGAACTCCGTCTCCAGCCATAGGCCCAGCCCCATAAAAACCATAACCCTGCACACCTCCTCTCCCCCCAACTCCATCCCCCAACTCCATCCCCCAACTCCATCCCCCGACTCCATCCCCCAACTCCATCCCCCAACTCCATTCCCCCACTCCATCCCCCCACCCCACCCCATCCCCACCCCACACACGCGCGTGGCACTCACCTCTCCAGCACCTCCAGCAGCGTCTCCAGCTCGCTGTAGTCGCCCCCCTCAGCCGCCTCAATGGCCCACTGCAGCAGGTGCTGGCGGGGGATGAACTTCGGGTTCACTGACCGCTGAGCGGACTGCCGCTCCGCCTCAGGCACTCCCTCGGCCCGGAGTCTGCACGCCCAAGGAAGCAAAAGAAATGGGGTTTTAGGGTTTTAGGGTTCACCTTCTGGCCCCCGAAATCATAAACATCAAGCAGGTGGACAGGTGGACAGACAGGTCCCGACGGCGCTGCCGGGGGGTGGCGAGGTGAGGGACCCAGACTACCGAGCGGGAGCGGGAGCCCGGCAGGTAGCGGTGCGGAGGGGAGAGTTGGCCAACGAAGTAGCGGGAGGGCCCCAACAAACTAACTGTCAACGACCCAATGACATTTTTCAATTTCGCTCCACCGCCGCTGGCCCCCCTCCCCAGCAGCCCTACCCTCAGGAGCCCATTCCCAACCCCCCAACCCGCGCACAACCACAACCACAAACCCGAGTGGCCGTACACCCGTACACCCCCCAACACATGCATCCTGTCGGCGTGTACATGCACCCCCCTATAGAACACAGACCGCGACCCAAGCACAGGGTCGTGGGCCCCTTACCGTGCACGATAGGCCTGCAGCCACTGCCGCCAAGCAGCTACACGCTCCTCGCTCAGGGGCTGACCGCCGTTGAGGGCGGCCGCCAGCGCCGCCGGGAGATCGTGATGGTGACCCGTGGGTCGGAGTCCGGATCCAGATTCCGATCCGGAATCACTAGAGGCGCACTCCGGTGGCTCGTCTTCCGTACAGGAGATGCTGCATAACGCCCGGAAGGTGTTGGTGAAGTCCGCGTCATCGTCGTACATTAGCCGCATCAGCTCGTGCGTAAGTGTCATGTCGTACTCGCGGAGGCCCAGCTTGGCTGCCATACGGGCGTTGTACGACTCGCTCAGGACCTGTCGTGCAGCGGTTAGTTAAGTTGTTGGTAACCGATGTGAGATTACATCGCAACCGTCACGGCATGTGTTCGTGTCTCGCTGTCCTCCACGCGACCGTTATAGCTGTCTGTGTGTCTGTCTGTGTGTCTGTCTGTGTGTCTGTCTGTGGTAATTTTCCAGTAGTGCCTTTCCGCGGCACTGAGCAGCACTCGTACTTCCGCAAACCCGTCGTGACTCGCCGCCGCCCCCGCCGCCGCTGGTGAGCAATGAGAACAAAACCCAACGCACCGTAGTCACCCATATTGACGACAAACAGACAGACCGACAGACCGACAGACCGACAGACACACAAGTCAGACATCACAGACGGGCAGGGCAGAGATATAGCCGGTCAGATATCCACAAATTCCGCTGCAGCACTGTACTACAGCTGCCGTACTGCTGTACCTTGCTGTACTCCCTCAACACCTCCTCTGCGCCCTCCCTGGGCACCAGGTCGGCCGCCAGCAGCGCATTTCCCAACATGACTAAATTGAACTGCACCGCCTCGGGCTGGTTGCGGTAGCTGTACCTGCAGGCGCACGAGGGGGGGGAGACAGAGAGCGCTTGAGGGAGAGAGAAGAGAGTGAGGGTGGATGCCGAGTGTATGTATGTATGTACGTATGCATGTGTATAATGCCGTATGTCTGTCTGTTACCTGACGCCAGCACCGCCAGGGGGCCCATGACATCCCCCCGGTGTAGGTACGGCCATTCAGCCCGTTCACCCCTTTCCCCCTAATCATTCTCCCGTCCCACACACATACACATACACATACACATACACATACACATACACATACACATACACATACACATACACATACACATACACATACACATACACATACACATACACATACACATACACATACACATACACATACACATACACATACACATACACATACACATACACATACACATACACATACACATACACATACACATACACATACACATACACATACACATACACATACACATACACATACACGCAACATCCCCCCCAATTTGACACGCCTACCCCCTTACTCCCCCCCCTTCACACACACAACTTCCCCGTCCCCCCCCACCTGCGCCCGCCGGCGTCGGTCAGGTTAGGCGTCCAGTCCGGATCGAACTTGTCCAAAAACCCAAACGGACCTACGGGTTCGTTAGAAGTAGTTAGGTAGTTAGGTAGTTAAATCGAGTACCGCCCGGTGGTGTGTCGAGTATGGGGCCCATTGATAGAAATGATGGTGCTTCCCGGCCCCCGGCCCCCTCCTCCTCCTCCTCCTCCTCCTCCTCCTCCGCGCCCCGCCTCACCCCAGCTCACCGTAGTCGATGGTGAGTCCCAGTATGCTCATGTTGTCAGTGTTCAGTACGCCGTGTACGAAACCCAGTGACTGCCAGGCAGCTACCAGGGTCGCTGTACGGCAGGTCACCTCGCGGAGGAGGTCCAGGTAGGGCTGGGGGGAGTCTGAGGGGGGGGGCGGCGGCGGCGGCGGCGGCGGGAGGGGGGGACAGATAGTTAGGTATGGCAGGCAGACAGAAAGGCTGACAGACAGACAGATAGATAGACAGACAGATAGATACAGAAAGATGATTGGCGAGAGCATAAGGACAGCAGATGTGAGAGGACGGGGGGAAAGGGGAGGATGATGGTGTGGTGTACGGGGGCCGGGGTTAAGGCAGGTGGAGTTTAGGCGTACACATACACACATACACACTCACTCACTCGCCAGATGGGGGTTGTGGTACTTGATCACCCAGTCGGCTGCCATCTTCACCAGCCCAACCTGGGGGGGATTGCGGGAGACACCTCGTTGCAAAGTCAAAAGGGGAATGCGGGAAAGTGGGAGCGTCTACCGCCCCAAGGGCTAGCAATAATAATTAGTATAATAGTTACCAAATATTTTAAAATAATTTAAATTTAAACGAAGAAGTAATGTTGGTAATATTTAGTAACATTTAATAGAAAAATATTATTACCTGAAGGAGCACGTTGGAGAACAAACCCCCAGCCCTGACCCAAACAACGCAATCAGAGAACACATTTCTCGAACACTCCCCCTCCACCTCCCCCTCCCCTTCCACCCCACCACCTCATCTCACGGAAACCACCAACCCGACACGACCTCCTCCCCCCTCCTCCCCCCCCCCACACACACATATCCTACCCCAACAGGAACAACCCTAACACCGCACTCCCCCTGCCCCCCAGCCCGCACCTCACCTCCCCCAAGCCCCTGCTGACGGGCAGCTGGAAGGTACCGAACCTCATGAAGCTGGGGGCCACTCGACACACCACCGCCCCGGGCTCCCACCGCGCATTGCCGTTGTA